GGAAAAGAACCACAAGGGGAAAGGAAGGGAGACTTACAAGGGCGGACAAGGACATCGACAGGAGCACAGGGAAACACATATAAAACAGAGAACATCTAATAAAAACCACATCCATCCACACCACATACTTCCTAGCAAACCATACACACTTAACTCTCATACCTAATCTAAACATAAAATTGTCCGCTCTTGCTCGTTTTACTATGTTGAGTAATCTAACAGTTTTCTAAAGTACTGTGCATCATATTTGCCATGGCTTCATTTTATTTTTTAATACAGTTTTTCCCTTTTGCAAATGTCCAGTATTCTTTGTTGCCAGTTAGCACACTGTCTACACAAGTAGTGTATGGCAACCAAGAAAGTCTTCGAGACGAAAGAGAAAGCTGACATTTCTTTGTCTGCCTTACATGTTAACTACATACTACACAAAGAAACAGGTATGCTTTACAAGACGGACCATAAGCAGCCAGTACATACCTTCCTCATTCTCCCCCACTGCCCTACTCTACTTCCAGGCCAACCTAGAAATTGCTACTACTTTGCAGTATGGGGGAACACATGACTCTCTGCTTTCCCATACTGGAATGCTTGGGTGCCCAAGCAGCCAACCATTAACCACTTTGAGATTGTAGCATTTTTTAAATCTTTGCACACGTTATAATCTGAATTTTTTTAAAACCCCCAAACAATTATATTTATCTCAAAGCAGAGGTCCTGGACAGTAAAAAAAAAAAATGCTCATTGCAATTTTTATGTTGCACAAATGTTCACCAAATGGATGGTTTTAGGAAGATGGGGTTTCATGGGTAAAAAGATACCAAACATGTCAAGCCTTAAAATTGTAAACACCCGTTAAATGGCATAAAAACTACAGTACCCAAAATTGTCCATAGGGAACGTTTTAAAAACCTTTACCGCTAATCAGATTAGAGTTTAAAGTGAATGATGGCTTTAGGATTATTGCTTTCACTCCAATGTTCATGGTACAATTGTCTTTTTTGCACACATAGGTGTACCTGGTGTGTGTTTGCATTTGTACATGCGTGAATGTGGAGAGCTTTGCATTTATTAATTTTTTCCATTATATGTAATTTATATTTTTTTTACACTTAACTTCATTTATATCACATGATCCCTAATGTCACCAGATGTGTGCTGATCTCCCTCCAGTCAAGGCGCAGACAACTGCTGGCCACATGAGGGACAGCAGAGCACAGGATAAATGGCTGTGAAATTTAAATACCGGGGTGCTCATCCACAAAGAAATATTTATCAAACGGAAAAGACACAGCGCTCTCTTGGGAGTGTGGGGTGTGTGTGACAACGGCCGATGGGGATTGCTGCTCTAAAAACAGGGGGAGAAACCTGTGAACAAAAACGAGGCAAATGAGAGTGCAAATCCTGAGAGTGTAAAGGTGTAGGCACAACCAGTGTCTGTGTGTTACGGGTGAAAAAGGACAAAAAATTATCAAAAAACAAAATGTTGAGACAAAGAATTAGAAACTTACTTGAGGAGCCGAAAGTCCTGGTAAGGGGGGCCCCTGAGGGGTTCTGGCAATGCGAGATATATACGGTGTGTCCCGGGGGTGAAAGGATGAATGAAGGAAAGACCAATTTAAACTAAGTGCTGTGTGTGCCGAGGGACTAGTGAGAGGCTGCCTCTAGTCTTGCTTGCGGTGTTTTTTATGAGATGTGATGCAATAAAGTGACAGAAAACTGGGAAAGAACATGCACGGGGCGGTGGTGGAGGAGCGACGCGTTTCGAGGTGATCCTCTTTATCAAGCTCAAAGGGAAAAGGTAAGTAACATTGGCGGGAGATTCGCTGGGTTTAAAAAGACGCCGGTGGGCGGGGTGACACAGGAGAAATCTGCTGCGCTTAGCAGCTGTGCCGCTGTCATCTGATAGCTCGGGCAGGAATTTTTTATATGTGTATATGTAGCTGTATTTTCTGAGTGTGTGAACAGTGGAGGGGATGTAAAGGAAAGGTGGGGGTGTTAATCGTATGAATATGGAACATGATGTGCGAGGGGTGGTAGGCAATCTTTCGGCGGGGATCCGCCGGATTTAGAAAAAATTTCAGGTGGGCGGAGCCACGTAGACGAAATCTCCTGTAATCATCAAACAATGTGTCGGTGTGTACTGATTGCTCAGGCGGGGATAGTGGAAGTGTGGACAGTAAGGGGCTGTTGATAAGTGATGGGGGTGTGTTTGTATGTGGCCATAGACAATAATGTATGTGGAATGGCCAGAATACTTTCGGCGGAGATCCGCCGGGTTTTAAGGAAATGACAGGTGGGCGGGGCTACCAGGACGAACTGTGTATGGGGTAGGATGCCGCACTACGGTATTTATGTTGCGTTATATGACTACCACCTTATAGCCTTACGGGAGAAGAGGAGCTGCATATGTTTATTTCATGGGAAGCTTTGTTGGTTGGTTCATCAATACAAACTGGATGGGTACTTGGAACATGAAATGGTTGAAACACCAAGGAAATTTGGTGTGAGTGTATTGTATTATATAGTTATATTGTGTTTTTATTAAAATGATTAAAAGAATTAAAAAATTAATTAAAAAAAGTTTTATTAAATGAATTGAATGTAAAAAATAGATTAAACTGGTTATACCAATTAAATGAATTTTGGTCAAATAAGAGAATCAATTGAATCAATTAATAAAGAAATATTTATACCAATTCAAAGTAGTTATAGAGGCAATCACAGCTGGCAGCGGAGATCAATCAAAGCATCTGCATTTTATGTAAATGTTCTGACTGAGCTCAGTCCGTCATTATCTTGCTTTGGCTCAACTTCGCTGCTGCCTCTATTCCTACTTTGGATATACACCGATCAGCCATAACATTATGACCACCGAGAGGTGAAGTGAATAACACTGATTATCTTGTTACAATGGCATACAAAGGATTTGAGCGACATTGACAAGGGCCAATTTGTGATAGTTAGACAACTCGACTGGGTAAGCGCAACTCCAAAACTACAGCTCTTGTGGGATGTTCCTGGACTGCAGTGGTCAGAAAATACCAAAAGTGGTCCAAGGAAAGAAAACCGTTGAACTGTGACAGGGTCATGGGTGGTCAAGGTTCAACAAAACGCAACTACAATGGGCATGTGAGCGTCAGAACTGGACCACAGAGCAATGGAAGAAGGTGTCCTGGTCTGATAAATCATGTTTTATTTTACATCATGTGGATGGCTGGGTAAGTGGGTGTCCCTTACCTGGGGAAGAGATCACACCAGCATGCACTATGGAAAGAAGGCAAGCTGGTTGAGACAGTGTGATGGTTTGGGCAATGTTTTGCTGGTAAACCTTGGGTCCTGCCATTCATGTGACTGTTACTTTGACACATACCACTTACCTAAACATTGTTGCTGACCAAGTATGCCCCATCATGGAAATGGTATTCCCTAATGGCAGTGGCCTCTTTCAGCAGAATAATGTGCTGAAATGCCTTGGGGAACAAAACAATGAGTTTGATTAAGGTTCTAAATCCATTCAAGCATCTGTGGGATGTGATGTAAAAACAGATCTGTTCTATGGAGGCCCCACCTTCTTACTTACAAGACTTAAATGATCTGTTACTGATGGCTTGATGTCAGATACCACAGTATACTTTCAGAGATCTAGCGGAGTCCGTGCCTTGATGTGTCAGGGCTGTTTTGGTGGCAAAAGGGGGACCTACTCAATAATAGGCGGGTGGTCATAAATGTATGCGTGTATATATTTATTATGGAGAAATTGTATGTTTCCCAAGCATGTGGATATCAGCATGGCAAAACAGAAACAGTAATGCTCCAAGGATTACTCTGTGCTTTACACAGGGTCAGTGCTGTGGATGTTGGATGGCAATTTGTAACACTACAAAGGCACTATGAAGCCACACATTTTTTTAGCAAACTTTTTCAGTTATGCTCTGTCAAAATTACTCGTTTGATTGTACAAAGCTGTGTGAAATGTATTTTTCAATGAATGTGCAAGTGAAAAACATCTGGACTCGAAAGTGAAAAACAACCATGGTCATCAGCATGAGCAGTTACAAATACTTTTTTACATCATGTAATTCCATCTAAATTGTAATTCCATCCTCCTCCTGAGCAAACTACACTATGCCAGAAAAAGAGTGTAGCTTCAATACTGCCAGGAAATCAGCCTCTGCAAGAAAATGTTACCCGCCAAATTTCCAAGCTGCGATATTACATGACTTAAGGACTCTAGGAGGAGAAACAGATCAGATTTTGTGCGCTATAAACAAGTGACATCACTTTGCATTATCCAGCACCAACATAAGTGAAGTGTCATGCAGGATTCATCTAACATATGTTCTCTGCCACATAACTTCTAGGTGATGAGACAGGAGGGCCATGAATGAACTGCGGAGTGACATGATCCTATGACTTAAAAGGAGAACTATGGGGTTAGGGCTTTTCCCCATAGTTCTCCTTAGGGTAACGGGAGGACACAAACTAGCGTCCTCCCGTCACCCAAAGCTCAGTATACCGCGAGCTATAGCTCGCGGTATACTGGGACGCCGCAGCTGAAGCGGATAACAACAATTATGTCTGGATCCGCCCAGCTGCGTGAGTGACTGCTGGCTCTGCTTATCTAGAGGCAGAGCCAGCTGTACCCGCCCCCTCCCCCATCCGTTCCACCAGTCAGCGCTGGCGGATCGGAGCGGGGGGAATCCAGCCCCTCCCCTGTCACGGCAGAGGGCCGTGACAGGATTAAGAAGTGAGCGAACGCCGGTATGTGTTCGTTCACCTCCCGATCTACTGAGCCGACCTGTGAAAGTCCCATTGTCACAGGTCGGCTAGAACTATGAGGTGAGTGAAAAGCACTCACCTCATAGTTCTCCTTTAAGGAAGCTGCGCTGTGTTCATTTAATCACATTAAAATGGGAGCTCGAACAGCTCAGAGGCACACATCTTACATCATGTGCATTCAGATAAGTGGCAGGGAAATGGAGCAGAAGACACAAACTTACAGCGGGATCTTTAGTGCAGCAGGAGAACGGTACTCCACATCGCTCACGACTAGCGTTGGCATCCGTGCAGTTAAAGTAAATATTTAGATTCCAGTCGTCCGCTCCAAATGCACCACAACACTGCCACTGTGGAAAACAGATGCAAGATTATTAGATATGTAGAACAGCAGAGGGAAAGCGCAATTTAATTTAATAAAGGCATTTATATAGCGCCAACAATTTACGCAGCGCTGTACATACTGTACATTCACATCTGTCCCTGCCCACAAGGAGCTTACAATCTAAGGTTATAACACAGAAGCTTTACCTCTGTATACTACACATTAACTATAGTGTAACATGTGATCGCATTCTATCTGCAGTTCTAATTGCAGCAATAGCATTTGAAAGTGATTCTTCCTAAATGTAATGCATGTACAGTTTAGATACCACTTGCAGAATGCCAAAAATAATCAATGACATACTAATTTGTTTGTATGTTATAAAAGCACAGCTCTCAGTTGTGGCTCTCCCACAAACATGGTGGTGGGTTAACCACCATGGGGATGGAGGATTTTTTGGGGATAATAAATCATGCCTTGATGTCACAAAATACAATGGAGAAATAAAGATAGATACTTCACAGACTTTGAATGCATTTAAAAACTAAACACAGGCACAAAAATGTAATGTATTGCCACTTACCAGCCCTTAGATGTGGTGGCTGCACTTGTTTTCTTTTTCTCACTATTTGATCCTTTCACTAATACAGTTCCTGCCCTAGGGTGACTAAAGTCACTGACTATAGTTTATCTATCGAAGAGCAGCATTCTCACCCTAAGCTACTCGCTCCTGATTTGGACTTCTAAACACCTCCCCTCTCATCATCTCCATAACATAGGGTGAGGTTCTCTGCAGTCCACTGGGCAGGGCTTTGGTACCTGGGTAAAGCAGTTTTACTTACCTGATACCCGCTGTCCTACCCCGCACTCTCCTGGTCTCCCCTACACTCCGATTGGTAGACTGTCCCTCGTGTCCTCACGTATAATGCAGGGTCATGGGCTCTGCATTTTGCATGATGATGTCAGCAGGCCTTTGATTGCTACAGCGGAGGAGGGAAGAGTCTATGGGTTTTAATCTTGGAGTCTGCAGGAGTGTGAATCAGGTAAATAAAAGTCCTTTACCTGGGTACTCTAGACCTAAACAAGCATTTAACCCTTGCAGTGCAGAGGCAGCCCCACTGAAAGGGGAGTTTTTTTTCTCGGTTACCGCTTATGGTACTGAAAATTAACCCCGAGCCACACTCAGGAATACCGCCATGGAGGTTAGTGGGTGCATTTTAACATTATTTTGGGCTATACTCGTCTTATACGACTAAAAAACTAAAAAAAAAGACCAAAACCTATATTTTAACACAAAAAGTAGGGGGTCGTCTTGTACACCCGGTCGCCTTATACGGCGGCAAATACTGTGCAACAGAGACCAAAGACCAGACACTGCTGATGTCTCGCCTTGCACAGGGTGACCGGTCTAGTATGCATCCCCTCCTGTAGTTTTCTGCAGGCAGCCTGTAGTGGGTGCTTCTGCTGGGTCACTTCCACAACTCTGCTCTCTGCACAGGCTATGCTATGTACAGCACAGTGATAATGTCACTGCTACTTCTACAAGGTAATAACTGGAGTTGCAAAGGTATTTGGTGTACACAAAGTCGATTTAAATCCTTAGTGTCTATTTGGAAATACGTTTAAATGAAAGTTTTATTTAACTTAATCTTAACAAAAAGCACCGTTAAGACCGGTGGTACATAGTCCCAATAAGCAATCATTAGCGGGTATTTAAAGGGTATGGAAAAAATGTATGAGAACAGCTTAACTAGCAGATGGAAGTTCAATTTCCTGACAGATAATGTTCCCAGTTTAAGCTGATTAGGCTGAAAATGATTGATGACTGCATGAAACTACATGAAAACTGAGTTAATTCGCTCTTCCATTTAGTACGATAAAATAGTTTACTTTATCTATTTCCTTTGTTGCAGGCAGCTTTTCCTGCAATCCCAAATAGCCACTGTATTTGGAGATATCATTTTCAACTAATTTGATACACCAACATTTTTTTGTGTGTGTTTTAAACATTCAACATTTAGACCAAGCGGACCCCAGTGCAAACATCAAACTGATAATTTCGCAGAGACCCCTTTACACACCATGTACTTGTACATAAAGACAAGGCTTAAGTAATGTATACTGGTTCATTTTAGTTTTCCTCAATCATGCAATATCATCTTGCTATAGTAGTCAAATCCACTGGAAGGTCATTGTGAGTAATAAGGCACAAAGGTCTATGCATAGTAGAGTGCTGTGAAAGGTGTTCTCAGAAAGATGCAATTGATATGCTGTTCTTGACAGTGATCCACTAAGCCAGTGGTTCTCAACCTGTGTAACCTCGGGACCCACATTTTTGCTTGGTCATTAAGTCGTTACCCAAAAAATTATTTCATTTTTGAAACATTTTAATGTATTTCACAAAACAACATGTGCCGTATTTAACACCGTATATATGCACATTTAAAACTGTAAACAACAGTGAAAATTTAAGTGCTGTTGAAGGAAAAACCCATAAAAAACAGGCCATTGAAACATATTAAATGAGACTAATGGTAAAACTGGGGATGCTTTTTGCTCTTAAGTGTCTCAAAGTCTAGGGTGATGGTAGACAAAGCAACTCTGAGGTCATGTTCAATGTCCATACTGTTCCTATTTTTAATCTTCAGCTGAACCAGAACTGAGAAGCCACTCTCACAAAGATAGGTTGTGCTGAATTTTAGGATGATTTTGTTAGCGTGGTTTGCGATGGAGGGATATTCAGTGATAACACTACACCAGAACTAAGAGAGGGTTACCTCAGTAAATCTCTTTTTTAGCATCTGATCACATCAGAGCTCTACTAGCTGACTCTCTTCATTGCTTGGCAACAAGATGCTTTCCAATTAGATTCCCAAGGGATCAGGTATCCAGCCATCATTCCTGTGCTGCTCTGGGAAGTAGTCATTGAAACATTCCTGCAGTTTTATGAGATGTGCTATTAGAGTTTTCTTCAATTCATTTCTGCCTGTGGTGTCCAGGTGTGTAAGCTCATGACAAGCATGGGGAAACATATCACATCTCTCTTTGGAAACATGATTTGTCCACAATGCCATTTTCTTTTTGAAAGCTTCGATTTTTCAATTTGTGCAAAAATATTGTCCCCCTTCCCTTGCATACAACAGCAAAACGTTTCCCAGCACACTCACCAGCCAGCATGCAAAAAAAAAAAAAACCTGTCTAACCGCGAACGTTAAAAACAGAAGTTTTAGATACATGTCTTCAGCAGAATATGTGAAAGCCGCACTGCCTTGTCAAGGCCCCTCCGTGTAGTGCGGTCCCAACACTAACCTATGAGAGTCTCCATCTTGGAGCACATGTAGCAAAAGATCAAATTGGGTGCAGATTCACCAGGAGGCAGCCCAACCTCCTTAAAGGCTCCTTCCCTTGCATAGACACATTTAATGTGTTCAGCTATTCAAACACATCAGCGAGATAAGCAGCTTGTGCAAGCCACTTATCACTGTTAAACAGATCGGCAAGAGGAGAGTTGCACACAGAGAGAAAGGCTGCAATTTCAGTTCTCAGTTCATAGAAACAGAGGATTTTTCCCCCTGGAAAGCCAGCGTAACTCAGCGTGATACAGCACCGCTACATGTTCACTAACCAGGTCTTTGCACGGCTTCTCAAAACACTTGGCATTCTCGGCACTCCGTTTAATTTAGTTACCCACTTTGACATCTTTCAAAGTTTCGTGAGGCACTGGTTCCATATCCTTGGCTGCTAATGCCTCCCTGTGCAAAAAACAATGGTTCCAAATCGCCTTTTGGTACCCTTTCAAGAATCCTCTTCACCACCCGTTTTCCAGTCATGCAGGCTGCACCAGCGGTTGTGAATCTGACACACATATCTCATGTCGGGCACACTGAACCAAAATATGAATCCATAGTATTGAAAATGTCCTCTGCAGTAGTAGTGGTGGGAAGCTTTGCTCCTGGATGTCTCCTTCCCACACATAAACCAGTAAAATGGCATGGTTTACAATATCTGTGGATTCATCCAATTGAAATGAATAGTATGTATGCGTTAGCATTGATGCGAGCTGTGGTGCGTTGTTTTAAGTAGGGATGCAGTGATATATCGGCCGAAAATTGCACTTTTGGCTAAATGCCGAAAGTGCCATTTTCATGCCGATACATCGGCGCATCCCAGGTCACCTCTAGTTTTAAGTCATCTGACATTTCATGAATCCTCCTGTATATCGGGTCATCGGATAGTGCAATTGTCTTTAATTCATCTGCAGCAGATTGATCCGGGACCTCTTTGACCATGTCAATGTCGGCAGGTAAGATAAGGTCTTCTGCAATAGTGTGGGCTTTCTTGCATTTTGTAATATGATGAGCTACATGGTAAGATGCTCGGAGTGCCTGCTCTTGCTTTGAGCAAGAAGAGGTTAGGCGCTTTTTGATGCCCTTAGCTCCTGTAGTATTCTTTGAAAATATTCAACAGGTTTTTCTGCATAGGCCAAGTGTTTTTTATCTAAATGGCGCTTTAGCTTTGATGGCTTCATATTTTCAATAGCCAGTGTTTCGCTACACAGAACACACTGAGGTTTGGAGCTTTAGTAGGGGGTAGGGGCAGTATTGCGGGCAGTGGCATCACAAGGGGGGGGGGGGGCGGCCCACACCCGGTGACACCATCAGAGGGGGTGACACCAAAATGACTGACAGGAACCACATGCAGTCCCTTTATCAGGCAAAACAATGTGACACATGGTAACATTTTTGGTAAAATATAAAAGATGCAGTTACATCGGGTAAATAGATACCAATCATGTCAAGTGTTACAATTGCATGCACCCGAGCAATGGCAAAAAACTATGCTACACAACATTGTCCATAGGTGACACTTTAAAAGCCTATACTGGTCATCATTTTAGAGTTAATCTTGAATTATGGCCCTAGAATTATTGCTCTCTAACCTAAATGTTTGTGGTGATACCCAACATGTGTCGTGCGTATGTACACATGAATGCCCTACACACACATGTTTATTCTGATGCAGATGGTGGGGTTGGTTTTAATTTACATTTTATTATTTTATATGACTTTTTTTCACATAACTTTTATGCTAACAAGCTCCTATGTGATAGTGTATTGAGGCAACAGGTTCTCTTTATTGAAACATCTGGGGTCTATTAGACCCCTAATGCCTCCCCGGCATTTAGACACAGGTAATCAAACACAGCATTGTGCTTGATCTCCCGTGCAGCCCAGCTTGTGACAACTGAGACAGGGAATGCTGTCAGTACAGCAGATCAGAGAATCTGGCCTGCTCCTGCTCTCCATCCTGAATGAACTGCCACGGTTCTGGGTCCTCCAAAAGAGCAGGGGAGCACGAAAACTATGGCAGGTGGTGGTGTACATAATGTCCATCAGTGTCCCCTGTCTTAACGTCCCCTGTCAGTGCAGAAGCATTAGCAGGGGCATCGCTGCAAGTTCTCTACTAAGCCCCTGCTAATGCCCCTCCAGCTTTTGCACTGAGAGGAGACATTTTGACAGGGTATACCGATAGACATTATGTATTTAACACCCATATAATGTCCATCAGCCTCCCCTGTCATAATATCCCCTGTCAGTGCAGAAGCTGGGGGGGGACATGATGGTACATTTAGCAGGCAAGAAGTTTCCTACCTGTTATTAGCTATGTAAGATGCTAAAACTGGAGTTCTGATTTAGGCTATTCCTGGTGAATACAATACCAATTGTGTTGAAGTGAAAAGGGGATTTTTTTTTTTTACAATGAAATGCTGATAACTTTTCATCCTTTTTCCTTTGACCATGCCAATGGCTTTACTAACCACTTTTGTATTTTCAGTGAGCACATTTTTTGAGCCATTATTGCAGTTTTAACAAATTTTGATGTGTATATAAATGTAATTTGAACGTGGAGCTGGCAGAATTAGCCACTAGAAGGGAGTAGATTAGCCATTTAACCTCCTTGCATAACGACTATTAACTACCTGCTGTCCGGCCGTTGTAATTAAACGGCCGGATAGCGGCTTCTTGAGTCAGCGCTGGCAGATCGGAGAGGGGAATCCAGCCCCTCCCCTGTCACGGCAGAGAGTCGTGACAGGATCGAGAGGTGAGCGAACGCCGGTATATGTTCGCTCACCTGCTGATCTACTGAGCCGACCTGTGACAGTCTCATTGTCACAGGTCGGCTAGAACTATGAGGTGAGTGAAAAGCACTCATCTCATAGTTCTCCTTTACATAATTATTTGGAAGAGATTAGCTTTTTGTTAAACAAAATTGAAAACACTATAAATCTTCTTTCCAAAAGAAGTTTTAAGCATTATAAAAATACCCTTCTATGAAAAAAAACATATATATGTGGAAACACTCAAATTAGAGCTATTGTGCTGCCACAGCCGCTTTCATTCTGATTATTTGTTACACTGCATATATATTTAATGACATATCATTATGTTATAGCATATTCGTGGCAACTAGTGGTCGATTAGCATTGCTACAGCTTAATCTCTGTATACATTGGAAGCTTCCATTTCACCCCCTGCTGTTTTTTGGATATGGTACAGTCTTCTACTAGATTCTCCCAGCCTCTCTTCTCTACTTCCTTTCTGGCTTCACCTTCACTGAGGAAAGAGGGTCTATGTATCCTGTGCAAGGCTTTAGATAGGAATGTCTTTTCCACCTTTAAGAATGACAAGGAATCACATCCTTTGTATTGTGAAAGCTAAATAAACTGCATTGGATTCTGCTTTGCGAGTTGGACCCTGTCTGTGGATACTCAGTAGGTTGTCATACTATCTGTACAGATGAGTCTCAGGCAAGTATGTGCAAATACATAAATCAGTGGTTGAGGCAGAACAGTTATGTGCGTTATATTGTTACTTCTTCAGCATATGATAGCTGAACAGGTCTGATCCAAAGCAAAATAAATAAATAAACCACGCTCTTCCATGAAGAATAGGAGCTTTTCTGTTCAGTGTAAATCATTATGATGCAATGGTGGAGGGAATATAGACATGCATGGTAATTGCTGACTGTGCAATCATTGATTAAAATAGTGAAATGCATCTCTACATAGAACCAGCATAGGTATTTGAATTTGTATCAATAGCAGACTTTCATAAAGCTCTGCAGCTGCACTTAAACAGAGAGGGCAGGGCGGTAGTATGAGCCAAACTGCTTCTCACACAGGGGAAAGCAAAGTGAGGTCATCATTGTTGTACTGTGCCTGTGCTATCCAATTACAGGGTGGGGTGGGTGCTGTACCAAACTGTATTGCTGAACTACACTGTAGTGTGAAGGTAATTCCAGAGCATGGCTGTGTTCTCTGGCTAGAGTTTCATAAATCACATGTCTGGTTAGACAGAATTACAAATCTTTTGAAATGTAAACATTTTACACTTAGATTTTGCTTAGATTGAAGTCATACGTACATATTCCTGCGTGAAGTCAATGAGGTTCTGCAGGTCAATATCATCTCTGTAAGCTTTAATGTTGCTGTTGATAAAGAAATACAGCTGGTCCTTAATCCAGTCTTTAAAAACAAATGCCAAGACACCCGCCGTGAGCTCCAGGAAGAAAATAATTCCCAAGAATACAGAAAACTGTAAACAAAAGAACAAGAATTACATGTAGGTATATGTAATATAATGATAAATAGCAAAATAATGTTACAGTATATTATTTGGCATCCTTATACTGGTTGGCAATGGCTACATTCTTTTTTTAAATATATTTATCGAATAGACAAGGGCATTTCATATTTAAAAGGTAGTTTGATCATACCGACCTAGTGGAGATGTGTACCCACAGCCAGCACAGCATCATTACAAATCTGTAAATATAATAGTACATTCATAATGATATGGCAAACAAATGTACAATTAACTAGGGATGCACCGCTACCGATACTCGTACTCATGAAAATGCCCCTTTATTAATTGCCGACATCGCCGATTGAAATTTTCAAAAACAAACCACTGCCGGGAGTTCCCACGCTTATAAATATAAATCAGTTTTTTTAAATAATTATAATAATACATTAAGTTAGTTTTCAGTGCTGGGAAATCAGTGTTGGTATTTTTTGGTGCAGAGAGGAATGTTCCACCCTTAGACCGCCTGCACAATAACTCATGTTACTATGTATAACAGTAAGCTTCATACTTACCCTCAGCTGTAACCCTAACATTAACCTTTCCTATTTATCCCAGATACTAACCAACCTGGTAACCCTAATGCTTTCTTTATCCCCGATACTAACCCACCCTGTAACCCTAATGCTTTCTTTATCCCCGATACTAACCCACCCTGTAACCCTAATGCTTTCTTTATCCATGATACCAACCCACCCTTTAACACTAATGCTTCATTTATCCCTAATACTAACCCATGCTGTTTAGCTGTGGTAGGCAGCAGAATCAAATCAAATCAATAAGCTGCCCCACCACAACACACCACAAAGCAGAGCAATGTACTGCAACGCACTCTGCAGCCCGCACAGCCCTGGCTAGAGCCCGCACAGCCCCCCCTGAGATCGTCCACTGGAGATATCAGGCCAGCACCCCGGAGCAGCAGAGTATGTAGCTTTATGATATTCTGCACTAATGTATAATGCATTGCTTGGATTTGTAGTCCTCTATATGGCACTGGCTGTATCAATGTATCACGATTTGTAGTCCTCTATAGCTGATGGTATTATTCTGCATTGCTGTATTATGTATTGCTGTATTATGTATTGCTGGGATTTGTAGTCCTCTATAGCTGGTGGTATCCTACATTGCTGTATATTGTATTGCTGCCACTTGCTGTCCCTCTACAGCTTGGAGTCAGTAGCAGAACTAGCAGGGGCGCAGCATTTGCAGCTGGGACCAGGCCCTGACACTTCACCACTGTCCTAAAATCATTAGTCTGTATTGTTTTAGAAAAACTGCTACCTTACACACACAAAAGGTATTGGTATTGGCGAGGAAAAGTATTGTTACTCGGTCTGGAAGCAATTGTATCGGTGCATCCCTACAATTAACAATTATCAACCAGGCAACAGCTGGTCAATTTAGTGCCGTCAGTCTACTAAATGCAAACACCCTATTGGCTGATATAGGTTAAAGGACATTGTTGAACGTTTTTTAAATAAAAACCCATATGGTGCATTGAGGAGGGAATAAAACACTATAAAGCAAACTAATTCCACCATACATGGTTCTGCTACTTAACAAATGGAAACTTATTTAAATTCTGCTTTAAAATATACCTAAAAGTAAAATGCCATGATCAAGGTTCCTTTAAATGTGTAGTCTTGTTTCAATCTGTGGGTGTACCAATATTGGGACATAAACAAATGTTACCAGATGAATAGCAAAATGTATGTGTGCATACATATATAACCATTCAAAAATGTCCTTGTATTATTTTTCTAGAATGCTCTGTGTTCTGGTAATGGGATGGGAGCAGATCAATGGCAGGATCTCCCCTTCCCATTTATAGAACACCTTGCATTCTTGGTAAATATTAGAAGGCGTTTTATGAAAGGGCAAGGGGACAGGAAGGGGAGGGAGGACAATGTGATTGGCATGCAGATCTCTCATTCCTGCAGCTATGTAGGGTCACAGCTGTGGAGTGTCCAGCGTCACTGAAGGGATGTTTTTTACAGGACATAGGAGATTCTTTATTAGAGGTAACTTGTGTGGGTGATGCTGTAGCCCCTAAAACATTTTTTTACACTAGAGTTCAGCTTTAACCAATGGGGAGCACAGCCAAAGCCCTTTTCATGGGGTCAATATAGATAAACTGCACGCAGCTATTCTGCCATATGCTGCTTTATTGAAGATCCATATTGCTCACTTGATAATAACAGTCATTTGGGGAGCACAGCCAAAGCCCTTTTCATGGGGTCAATATAGATAAACTGCACGCAGCTATTCTGCCATATGCTGCTTTATTGAAGATCCATATTGCTCACTAGATAACAACAGTCATTTATATGTTTCAGCCCAAGTGGGCTTAGTCATAGCTAGTTACAAATTGCTACAAACAAGTTAAAATACCCACCTTCCCTACAATGGGTGGGGCAATCATTACTGTCATACCGAACAAATGTAGACAACATTAAAGTGCAATACAACAAAATGAAAAGGAAATCTATAAAAACCCAGAGTTAAAAATCAATAGGATAAGGATGAGGTTTCAAAGTCATTATTTAACATTAATTTCAAAAGAAATCTCATATTTCATCCATGGCTTAACCTCTGTGGAATCCTGGACTGAAGTTTGAAAATCCACTCCAAAAGCTTTCTGCACAAACTGCCCCCAACTTGGCAAAAGTGAAACTTTTTCTATACCATGAAATGAAAACTAGGACATGTAGCCACCATGTCTATTAAGGAAATGCTGAAATGTCTCTTCTTGAAAGAGTGGGATTGTGGATAGTTGTACACCTTAAACCTTAATCGCGTGGGGGCCGCTACTATATACGGTACCAGTGTTAATGTCTGCATATGTTACAAGCGGCAACTGCCACCCATTCAAATTAATGATCGGGTGACAGCTGCTGCATGTAAATGCCTGCACACCGCATGTAATCATATGTGAAAGGATTGCAGTTAGGAATCTGTCACCATCAGTGGTTACATCATTGTTTATCCAGAGATAGTGATTGTTTTTGTAACTGCATGTAATCATATAACATACCAACACATACGGTGTGCAGGCGTGTATATGCAGCGATTGTCACCCGATCATTAATTTGAATGGGTGACAGTTGCTGCATGTAAACGTCAGATTAGTGATTCCTGCTACAGGAAAACGCAAGGCATTGCAAGATTCTCACACAAATGACTCCCGAAGAGAGATGCATCATGGGATTTGTAGTTCTACCACAGCTGGAGGGCCGGTGGTTTGAGACCCCTGATGTAAGGGCTCTCTATACCTTGATACCCCATCACTTGGCACTTATGGCAATACAATACCATCATAGACTTACAGCACATATTCTGAGAAGTTAGGTTTTTTTTCTGCTGTTCCTCCTAACACATAACTATTCTTTATATGGGGTATACTACTTAAAAAAAGGTGCAGAGTCTCAATAGGGGCGGTATTTCAGCCTCACTTACCAACCTATGTATGGGATGGTGGGGGAAGCCCTGCATCTTTGTGAGTGGGAACCGATTTGTAAACTACATCTTTCGGTACGGCTGTGTGCTTCATGACCTGCCTCTGGCTTGCAAGTGACCCTCTGGGAGGTTAGCGGAGTTCATGGATACATCAATGATTATGATGCAAATCTATTTTTTACTGAGAAGTTGATACTATCAATTTCCTGGATTTTACCTTTACATGATAGTGCAAACAACCATAAACCTTTAGTGAGTAATTCTACCAGAAAAGCTACAAGTCGACACCCAATACATACGATTAGGGCTATACTCACGGGTACATATATTTTAGGGCAAGACACGACTGTTCTACTGACTAGTTATTAGATGAGAGCCTAGATTAGTGACCTCCACTTCAGAGACGTAATGTGTCTAGTAGTAGTCAATTACTAAAAGGGAGACCACAAGCATTTAATGGAAATAGAGAGAAACTCCTGGCCAATCAGATATTGTCTACTAATATATCGACTTTTGTAATTGCCTTTTCTAGAGAATGTAAAATAATACAGGATTGTAAAGAGGAATATTCCAATTTTATATCCTAATAAAACAGCTGTATGAGGTATTAAAGGATGGTTATGCAATGTCCATTAGAAGGACACCAACTCTGGGATTCATGTGGTCTCATCTAGGAAGAATTGAATAACTTGACTTCCCAGATAGGGTTCCTTTAACCCCTTCGTGACGGGAGACGTACAGTGTACGTCCCGTCACAAAGTGGCTATATGACTGGCCACGTACACTGTACGTGCCGAGTTATGTTAGCCTCTGTAATGCTGGTAACTGCTGATTCTCAGCAGTTCCAGTCATTAATTAATGCCTCACTATTGAGACATTCATTAATGAAAAAGTTAAGCTTTTTTAAAAGCCTCTTTCTTTCATTAATGAAAGAATGAAGCCTTTACATTCAGATACGGGTTCGCTAAATAGCGATCCCGTATCTGACAGCTGAAGATGATAGAGAGGTAGCAGTGACTCACCTCTCTGCTATTCGTTTTGACAGCTGGAGAGCCTGGCCCGATGTTAAATGATACATTTCAACCACTAGATACAAAATGTATCTCGAGTGAAATGTATCAGTTTTGATCGTCTAGGAACGATCAAACACCTTTAGTGAGATCTGATTCTGACATGCTGTCAGGATCAGTCTCTAAAGTTATTATTAGCTGTTCCTAAGCTTGGAGCAGCCTGATAATAACTAAACAATTTAAAAAGTTAATTTATTAAGCAGTCATAGTGATTGCTTGATATAAACTGACAAAAAAAAAATTTTTTTTTTTTACAAAGTGTAAAAAAAAAAAAAAAAGTGTACAAAAAATTAGGAAAATAAAACTTTTATATGTAAATATATTTGTATACTATAATTATTATTAAAAAAATTCTAAAAATAATAATAATCAAAACTTGCTGCTGTGGAAGAATCACGCAGCAAAAATGTAAAAAGTGTGTCAGTC